CTGGTGCGCCAAACTAATCCAAATTAATATATATATATATATATATATAATTGAAGTGAGTTACTGAACTATTACATTTTGATACTTCAAGTTTAATTAAATTACAACTTAGTCACTATAATGTACATTTTATATTTTGATACTCCAAATTTAAATTTAATGTAAAATCATTGAACAATTATGCTTTGGTATCGAAATTTTATGAGATTTTCGTACCTATAATTTTTTTACTTTTACATATTGGTGCAATGTGTAGATTTCACTTGAATCCATGAATGCAATCCACAAATCCTTTTGAACCAATCCAATTCACCATAACATAAAAGTATAAATTTAGTTTGTACCATACAAGATGTTGTGTCACTCAACTATAGGAGAAGATTCGACCATTTTATATTTGCTCATTACGTGAAACATTAAAAAAATTATAAAAGAGAGACGATTCTAAAATATTGCAAGAGCGAATTTATAAACTCATTTAGTACATTTACGGGGTACTAAACAAACTTCTACTAACTACATGTAACAAAATATGCGTCATCTACATAATCAAGTGTCAATAAATTGCTACGGTGAAAATGGTTGACTGTTGTATTGACAGCCAACTAGAAGAATTGGTCAAAACCTTTCCATCATCTACTTTCCCTTCGTTTCATTTTTCACTCGCCTTCCATAACCCTTTCTTTATTTTTTATATATTCTAATCACAAGTATGAACGGGTCCAAACATGACTGACCAATAGTCTAGAGAATTAATAATTGAACCATGAACCACTAACTTTGTCAGCTCAATGTTTAGTCCAATTAAAAACAAATATATATGGTTATTACTTATTAGAAAGTCGTCATTTTCCACAATGGGATTTGAAGGCATGAAATTTTAAGCGAGTTGCAGTTTGTATTCCTTTTGTTTCTCTCTAGAGTTTTTCTTTTTCACCCGGGCTAGAATTTTCAACAATTATACATGCAATTTTCAAAAAATTTACATATAAAATAAATATTTTCTATTTTCTATAATAAAGTAAATAATTATCATCTTAAATACATCACCATAAAAAGAATTAAGCCTCAACTATGCAAATTACAGTTGGGTACCTAAACTTAATAGATCTTTAGATTTAAATCCTAAATTTATTTTTTTGGCATATAAGTCCTCAAAATATTTATGGAATATTACAATTTAGTACCTGAAATTTTTGTGTATTACATCTTATTACCCGAACTTTTGAAGTTCTACAAATAGATCTAATTTTTGTATGTGTAATTAAAACACCCTCCAATAAATGTGTATCCATACCCAACTCATACACATTTAGATTATGAAAATAAATATCCATACTCTACCCAAACTCATCTACAAACTTCCAAACCCATATATATGTCACCCATACCCTACCCATAATCAATGAGTCTACTTGGGTTTTGGTAAATATCATATATTAGCCAAAATTTTCAAAAAAATTAATTAGAATGTTGACCATCATATATCTATTCTCAGTCAATATCATATTGTCAACTCAATATTACTAACAAAACTGCTAACAAAAAATTAATTTTAAACTAATAATACTAACAAAATACCCTAATGGGCCACATATTACATGCACATAGACTATCTCCACTCCGCGACAAGTCACAGCATCACCACCTAGTAATAATAGAACACAAAAGCACTCTCTCCTACCAATCCTAATATGCCAACCCCGTAGCCAACTACCAATAATATTCTGATCACAAGTAATTCTTAGACCATTCACATGAGTACACTTCATTTCCAATTCTATTAGTAGCTTCTATTATCACTTTATAAACTGAGGTTAGGTTACTAACACCTAATTTATTAGCATGATGCTAATACCTAATTTATTAGCATTAGGGGTGTAAGTCTAGCTCTAGATACGTACCCACTAACCAGACCCGGCCCGGCCCGACTCAACTCGACTTTGAGGGTCGGGCTGTGTCAGTTTGTCTTTAGAGCCGATTTAAGGTCGAATTATCTTTTGGCACTTTAAGAGTTGGGTAGGGTCGGGTCAACTTAGGGTGTCACTTTTGACTCTATATGGCCCATAACAACTAGTGATTTGAAATTTCTCATACCAAAGGATTAGACTTATTTATTAAGTTTTAACAACTTAGGTATGCAAAAATGGACTTGGTCTAGTAGTACTACCGCTAGTCTTGAATTTGGAGATTCTAGGTTCGATTTCGTTAAGTAGCACCTTATAATGAACAACCATATATCACCCATATCTAAAAAAACAATTTGGGTATCATAATGCAATCTAAAAAATATAAAGGTACTATAACATAATTTTGCCACCAAAAAATTTATGGACCTATGTGTAATAAAATAAAGTTTAGGTAATAAATTGTAAAAATAAATTTATGTACCAAAATATAATTTTTCAAATATCAATTTGTTGATATGGATCAACCCGCAGACTTGGCCCCACCTGACCCAGTCCCACCCAAGTGGGTCATATAGGGTCAAGAGCAAATAGGGTTGGGTTGTGTTTGTACCTCTATATGGCTGAGTATTTTAGGGTACTTCTAAGATCAAAATTGGGTGTGACCCCAATTTCACCCTAGTTAGCATGATGCTAACACTACCATATCCAATAAAAAACTTTTATTTTGCTGACTTTCTATGTTTGAAGGGGTTTACTACTATTTAATTCAGTTTTTTAAAGAGATGGGTGCACTTGTCAATTTTAAAAATTATCAGAGAAACATGCTTGTGGATCATAAGTATCATGAATCATACTAGAAACACAACAAATCATGTAAAAAAAACATAAAGTAGATAAGAAACTTGCCACATCATAAAACTGATAAAGTTGATCACATATATCATGAAGCGACTCAGATCATACTTGAAACATGACAAACCACAACACAAACCATATAAAGTAAACTAGAAACCTCATAATGTATATAAGAGAAATTAGAAAAGCACACCACAAATAGTGCAAAAATCACCACAACACGAAACTCATAAAGTATACTAGAAACTTCATAAAACTTGTCACAATTTTTCTGAATCACACTAGAAAACTCATAAAACTGGCCAGAAGTATAAGAAGTTGACCATAATATGTGTGTTACAAGACAAGTCATAGTGACAATTCGACAATACTGGGCTTGCATATCTTCATTTAATTATTTAATTATTAACATTAGTTATTATTTGGAATTTATTTAAGGTGAAAGTTATATTTGTTCTATTTGGAATAAGATTAGTAGATTATCCTAATATATAATTAATGTTTCTTGTAAGGGAATAGAAATGAATTCTAGTAGTAGTAAAAAAGATAAGGAAAGAGACTAAAGTCTAGAGTGAGAACTAAAAGAGATTTGGTTGTGTAACTCTAAAAATAGAGTCTTTGTTTATGATTAATAATATGAGAAAATTGGAACCCAATTTATGTTTCTTCTTTTGTTATTATGTTTACATACAAAATAATTTTGCGGCGCGAGATTAACGACGCCGCGAGCTAGACGACATCACAGTGGAGACTGGAGAGCGATGTCGCGGTCTCGAGTTCGGTGGCATTGTGAGGCCGTGTAGCTAAACGAGGCCGCGAATTCAACAAAACTGCAAGCTAAACTATGTCGCAAGGACGTGTCGCGAATTGAGCTAGGCGAATAAAAATCACAATGATGATGACTTTGACGATGTTGCGATGAAGTGATGTCGTTTCGGGCAAAACGATGTCGTTTCTGTCAGAACGACGTTGCAGGGAGTTCAACGATGTTGCGAGGTCAGTGGCGCCGTCGTGGAAGCTATAGACGTTGTTCCTCTTCTACCACCTCCAGAAGCACGATAACCTTGGATGGATTTGAGCTTGGCCAGAGGAAGGAAAACTCTCTAACCGCGGGTGGCAATGGCGTCAAACGAGGACCAACCACGCATGGAAATATTGACAGAAAAGAAACATGCAATTGTTACGGATGTAGGGCACGGTTAAATTTGAACCTAAAATTTAGGAAAGAATGGCTACAAGTCATGGTCAAAGAAAGATCTCTCCGTGGTAGGGCTGATAATCGGTTCGGTTATTACCGGAACCGTTTGGTCGGTTCTCGATTAACTGTACGTACTTCGTGCTTACTGTTAACCGGACCATTTATATTAGTCGGAACAGTAACCGCTTAGTCGGTTATCGGTTATTTTATCGGTTATCCGGATAACTGTTAAGTTGGTGATTTAGCAAGGTTATACCAAAATAATTGATCGTTAGCATAACCAACGGAAAACCTTCTTTTTCAATTGTGCATTTTTTGTAGATTTTTTCCTAAAATAACTTAACTTAGATATCAATCTATAATCAACTCAATCCAACACAAGTATACAATAACACTATTACACAGTCAAATTTGATTAAAGAAACCGACGAGAATAAGAGACCCAACAAAAATTACTCAACTCATAAAGACATAAACCAATATATTACATGGAAGCTTAGATGTTAATGATTGTTGTCAAGCTACTATAAGCAAGTCCAACTTTATACTGTGCTTCAAAGCCCTTCTTTGAAAATATTCTCATTTGAGCCTCTATTACAACTAGGGTACGCAAGGGATCTTGTAGACCTTCAAACATTCCATTATTTTTAGCCTATACTTGCGGCTCATCGAGACTATTATTTAGGGTCATAACTATGAAGATGACCATAATCGGTTAATCGTTTAACCGTTAGTTATTGACCGTTAAAATTTCGGTTATTAATTAGCTAAATCTAGCTACCGGAAACCGATCGTTTAGTTTTTAATCGGTTATCGATGTAACCGTTAACCATTAGTTTTGTTTCCTTCTTTGTAAACCCAATGGGTTGGGCTGAAACGGATGCTTGTTTGTGGGCTAGTCACTGGACCAGCGAAAGTCTTGGTACACCCTGGGCCTAGTCTATCTTTCTCTGGGCCGGACCCAACGAAATTCATCCCTGATGGGCAATAACAGGGCAAAAAAGAACATGAGAGACGGCAGAAGGAAGCTGTTCGCGATGGCGGAAGGGGAAGAAGCTGCAGTTGCAAAGGCTGAAGCAGAGTACTTCTCCAAGGACTTCGACTGGGAATCACTGAAACAACAAGTTGAAAAGAACCCTTCGTATCAGTTTCATCTGCTTCCACATCTTCCTTCTTCCTCGGACGAACAACGGGAGGAAGAGACGAGAGATTCCAAGGCGTGGCAGAGCTTCCACGTCCGCCATTCCGCCGGAAAGTTCTTCAAGGTTCCTTCTTTCCCCACTTACTCATTTGTGAAGCTAATAGTTAACGGGTTAGCCAGGAATCTCGATTTTTATTCGGATTTAAATCTGCAGGAGAGAAGGTATTTGTTGAAGGAATTCCCCGAGTTGGCTTCTTCCCCCAAATTCTCCAAGGTTTTGGAGGTTGGATGTGGAAATGGAAGCTCCCTTATTCCTGTCCTGCGGTAACCTTTGTCCTTCTATTCTTTTTGAACAGCTCGAACCTGCTAGAGGCCTATAACAACCCTCACACATGAAAGTTGGAAATGGGTAATATGGGTTGGAGATTTCTTTTGATGAAGACAATTGTGATTTTCCTTTTTTGTAGTGGCAACAAGAACATCACTGTGTATGCTTGTGATTGTAGTAGTGAGACTCTTGAGAGGGTTAAAGAGATTTTGTCTGCGAATTTGGCAGCAGCAGCTTTGGATCGTTTCGTTCCGTTCTTCTGTGATTTTGCTTCAACTGGATTTCCAGGATGGTTGGCTTGCCATTCATGCAGGGGGATGGCTCCCCAACGTGAACACAAAAGCTGTTCTGGTCTAAGATTGGTTCTCTGTTTTTAATTTCGTCTCGATTATAGTCACACATTATGCTTTCCTCAACCATTGTTCCTCATTTATTTTGTTAGGCGTTGGAGAGTTCCAGATGACTCAAATGCGAGGTTTAAGTCCATTGACAGAAGGTGGCTGCTGCATTGGCGGGGTGGATTTTGTTACCCTGGTACTTCTTTGAATGTGGCTGAAATCACTTTGGCTGTGTTTTTGTTTGTTTGTGGTCTTGTATCCATACCAGACACACATTCTTCCGTATATAGAAGTCACAGTTCATTAGCTTCTAGGGAATTTGATTCAAATTTATGAATTGCTAATTGAACCTGAAGTTGAAGGTATCATGATGATTTGTTCTTAAATAGGTTCCTACTTCCTAGCCATGACAATCCAATGCATCTCCCATTCATTCAACACGAGGTGTTTGATTCGATTTATTTGTAAAATGATGTATTCAGTCTCATTTGCATGCTCATTTGGCATTTTGCATGATATTAAGTATTATGTAAGGTGCAACTGGTAAGAAATATTTTTGGGTTACGTGCATTGAGCTGAAAATTGTGCCAGAAATGCCAGGCAACCAAATCTCCTATGAATAAATTTTCAGTATTTATGGCCTCTGAGTCTCTTAATTGCTTCTTTGTTGCGGACTTTTATGCCTAGATATTCACACTCTCAGCTGTGCCACACAAATTGATGCCCAAATCCATAAAGGAGTGTTTTTCGGTCTTGAAGCCTGGTGGCATCCTCATGTTTAGAGATTACGGTAATGAAAACAACCACCGACGCTACTACTGTCAAAAGAATGAGCAGTGAACTTGTTAATTAGAGTAGCATCTACATCCCCGTTGTTCAGCTTCGATACTACCTCACTGAGAAATGTCCAATCTTTTGAAACTTAACTAGGGCTCTACGACATGACCATGCTGCGGTTTGAGCCAGACAAGAGGGTTGGTTTCAGGGAGTACATGCGAGGAGACGGTACTCGCTCTTATTTCTTCTGTCTAGACACTGTCCGGAACCTTTTCCAGGGTGCTGGCTTCAGTGAGGTACACCATCAGCACTTGAACTCTCTGCTTCCTTAGTTTGAAATGCTTGACAAGTATAGTAGTAATAAAGCAAATGGGTTGTGATTTCAATAAGTAAAACCCAATTGTCACCTTACAGATGGAGCTCGAGTACTGTTGTGTAAAGTCGGAGAATCGTAGGAAGGGGAAGATCATGCAAAGGGTGTGGGTCCATGGGAAGTTCCAGAAGCCCATGCTATAGCAGCTGCTGCAGCATGGTGGGATCAACATGTCTCTGTTTCAGGTACTGTTCTATGGACGGGTATAAAGATGCATCCTTAATCTTGCAACAAACTTTTAATTTGTACCGGTGGATTGATTTTTTTATCGCATTGAGTAAGCACAAACTGAAACCATGATATCCTGTGTCAGCATATGCTTACAAGGGAGCTGTGAGTCAGCACAACAGCCAAATCCCCCATTGACTCTATGAGGAACTAGAACTCATCTACTGAAACTCCCCCAGAAATGTTTCCCCAAGTGCATAGACCCTGCAGAAAGCTTGAAGGTAGAGAGAGGAGCAGCACTTGTGTTTCCCGCCAATATGTTGCGCATTTGAATAAACAACAAAGCAGCTGGCTTTCAGTCCAGATTTGATACCTGCATGCAGCGCTGTGATGGCACCGGAATCGTATCAGGTCTAGCATCTACATATATCATCATCAGCAGTAGCAGTGGAATGAAATGAACAGCATATCAAACATTTTGGTCCCTTGGGAATAGGGTAAGGCTCTCTCAGCAAAGCTGGCATTGGTAATGTGGGTCTTCTTTGTTCAATTTGCTGAGCAGTTCAGCAGCGGCCATTCTCCCAAGTCCCAAGCATGCGTTCTCATTTCTCACGCTTCTTGGCACCATCTTATCTGTCTATTGACCTCACCCTCCGCCCTTGTTGCAGTGTAATTATTTTATTGACGAATATGCATTGGTAAAAAAGCAATCAAGCAGTAATAATATGGTCAAAACACAATAGGTGATATAAAAACATATAATAATACCTCTTGTTGTTCCTTAATTTGACTCATTCCTTGGACCATCATATCTTAGTTTAACCAGCCACCCCATTTCATCATCGTCCTTACTAAACACTATTTCTTTATTATGAGTTTTGATCGCCATCAACAAAGCAAGCAATTGGGTAAATTGTCTGTCCACTAGGCTAAGCTGGAACAGAGTCGCTGTATTATTTGGAGTAGTAGTGTCGTCATCATTCAGTCACACCATTAATTATATTATTTAATTAGCGATTCATCATCAACACTACGAACCCCACCCACTAATTTACTCAACTTGATTAATTAATTACGTAAAACCCTTCTTTATCTCTAATAAAGTCTCTCCCCCTCCCTGTCATTACTAATTAATTGCTTTCCCGCACGGCGCCATTGGTTAGCCCCGCGAGATGAGTTCAGATTTATGCAGTAGTTGGTGTTTTAACTTTACCACCAGTGGTGGAAGCCACAACTTTCACAAAGTTAATTAGGTCACAAACACGCACATGAGGATGGAAAGAAATCGGACCCTCGACGGCTGGAACAAACATAAACCGTGAAATTGTATTGGAGATTAAACTCAAAATATATATTCTCCTAATATTTACATTATAGACTTCTTAAATTTGGGCATGAATACACAACAGTTTATGATAATATAATATATGATACAACTAACCAATGCATTATCCTAAGCTCTAAACATTCAATTTTAACATTAACCCTAAACCCCAAATCGTAAAACCTAAATCCTAACCCTAAATCGCTAAACACTAAATTCTTCAAATCAAAGTAAATCTTGCTAATTTGTGCAGTTTCTTGTACATAATATTACTAGTGATGATTGACATAGTTATGATATGAATCTCCTGCTCAAATTGGCAATTATGAGATAAATGCACCCAAAAAGAAGTCAGTCCACCAAAAAAAATCATATATATAACGAAAAAGGGCTTGGTCTAGTGGTAATATCACTAGTCTATAACCTGGAGGTCCCAGATTCAAATCTCTTTAAGTAGTACCTTAATCACAAAAATAAAATCTATATCACCCTTATATAAAAAAAACATATATATCCTTTATTTTTCACTTGGAATATAATCAAAGTTTGAGAGAGGTTAAGAAAAGCGAATTGTGTTGGAAACTTTCATGGGAGATGCTTAGATTCCTCATTATCCTTTAATATATATTATTATAATAGAAGAGAAGGGGAGGGAGGGATTAAAATAAATGAAATGATATTAGTTGGCATTATCATGGATACTAAACTCAATTAGACTTTTATTTGGTGGTCCATATTTCCTTAATGCGGGTTGTGTGGATTCCTTTTCAAAGTAATCATATTTTAATTGGTGGTTTGTTGGACTTTTGAAATAATGGCTCCACACAAACACACAGATGCCGCCAAGGTTTAGCTAATTAATAAGGCACCCCTTCCATTAAACAATTATTAATTCCCCATCCAACAGTGTAGCTAAAACGATACTTTAAAAATAAACAAAATTGAGGAGAGCTGTGGTTGGGGCAGTTTGCTAAATTAATATCATATATATGTGAATAATAAAATCCGAGAGGTGGGATCCTCCTGCTTTTTAGATTAGATTATTATTGACTGCATTTGTGTTTGGATTAGTACTTCAAAGCACACTCTTTTCATTGGTTAAGACTGATTGTAAAATGCCTCATAAAATGCTTAAGTTATAAAGGCAGCAACAAATAAAATGGATGGGTAATAATCAACAAAAACTGATTGTAAACAAGGGTCTGTAAAATAATAACATATCAATATGGTACAAACTATATAAATGGTTTGCAACATGCATGTTAAGGGGTTTGCACGGTAACTCATTCATAAAGCTTCCTTTAGCGCCAGCGGCATGTAAAAGAATCGATCAGTATACTTAGGCTTGTTTGTTTAATGAATTTGGTGATGGATTTGGGATTCATCATAAAATTCATTGTTTGCTTCGATTATTTAGAAGTAATAAATTTGTGGGATCTATGGATTTTGAGGATTCAAATCTGTGGGCGTCACGGACAAACCCCACCTTTTTAGATGGGAATTGATAATGAACTTTGAAGTCCATGATTTTTTTACCAATCTACCTCTCATTTTTACCGCTCTTCTTATATCATTAAGATAAGGTAAGTTTCACTTCATACAAACAAATTTAATTACTAAAATCCATCATGAAATTCATGAAACAAATAATGGTATTTTCCAAATGCATAATGAGCCCAAAACCCTCATATATCCATAATTTTTCAAAATTCAAATATACTAAAACCATCATTTTTCAAATACATAATGTAAACGACCCCTTGATTAATTAGCTAAGCTAATCCATTTCCTCCCTATTTATTATGGCTTATTAAATGAAGTAAACTCAACTAATAATAATATAAATGAAAGGAAAGGAAAGAACACGATGGGAATAGGATGGAATAAAGGTAAATATTTTTTTGGTCAGGGTTTTGCCGTTTTGGTAACATTGTCATGTGAAGCCATGTGAAGAGGGGGTCGCATGTTGCTAAAACTCTAGCATTATTTCATTTTGAATTTTGATTGTTATTAATTAATTAATATTATTATAAAAGAAAAAGAAAAGACATCCTTTTTAGGAACACTATACATGCATGCATATGAATGTGCACCCATCTTAGCCAGAAACTTGTGCTTAGTGCATACCCCGGCCCTCTTATTTTCCTTTTTCTTTCTTGTTGATTTGTTCTCCCTAGGTGAAACCCTTATTTATCATCCACGATGGGATTGAATCTTAAATGTATATTGACTTTCTACCATGAATTTTGGTTCAATTCTAACCGACACTATTGGTTGAAAAAATCGTAATAATGATAAACACTCGTTAAATATAGTGTGTGACTTGACCCCTATTAATTTTAATAATGGCAAAATACATATGTATAACAAAATTTTTGCATTTGCAATAATAATAGCCACTTTTCAAAAAATATAGAAAATAGTCAGAATTTTGAATGTTGCATGACAAATATAGGGAACTTGTGGTCTGTTTTATGAGGTTTCTAGTTTGCTTAAGGAAACTTATGATATGATTTTATGGGTTTATGGTTTTTATGTTCTGTTATAGAGAACTTGTGATATGCTTTATGAAACTTCTGGTCTGCTTCAGGAAACTTGTGGTCTGCTTAATGAGACTTATTGTCTTCTTCAGGGAACTTGTGGTTTATTTTATGAGGTTTCTAGTATGCTTCAGAAAACTTGTGGTATGCTTTAAGAGATTTTTGGGTCCTGCTTTAAAAAACTTGTAGTCTGCTTTGAGTTTTCTTGTATATTGTAAGAAACCTGTGGATCTAGGCGTCTTGCGTCTAGGGTGATATGATTAGGAATGATAGCGGGTAGGGGAATTAGGGAATTGGGAAGGATTGATTGAGGGATTTGAGAGAGGCGAGGAAGAAGAGGTAGAGGGGGTCGGCGGCCAGGGTGGCCGACGGGGTGATGGTGGGCAAAAGGGAGGCTTCAACCGAGTGAGAAAGAGAGGGAGAGGAGATTAGGGTTTCTGGGAATTTTGTTACGTAATTGCTTAATGAGTTATCACTCACTAATTACAGAATATATAGCCCGAATAATTCCCGCTAACTACCCCAATTATTACCCTTAACCCAAATAATCCGAATAATCCTCAAATGCACTCGAAACCCCCCCCCCCCCCCCCCCCCCCCCCCGCCGAATAATACCCAATAAATCCCAAACATAAATAAAACGACAAACAAGTCCAAATGCCGAAATCACCCAATAATTGGGTTTCTAGCAATCCACCCCTCTCGAGACCAACCTTGCCCTCAAGGTTGTTCCCGAGTGCCTTGATTTTCCTTGGCCTCTTTAGCGGCTAGCTCCCGGCTTCATAAATAAAACCACCTTTCCGCAGCATAAATCCACAACCCTACATCCTCTTGGCCATTGAATTTTGGGAACTCAATGGTAGGAGGTTTAGCACTAAACACCAGCTCATCATCTCCTTCATACACAGAGTTGCAACCACCATACCTGCCTATGCCGTGACCGCCTTGTCGAGGATCCCGGCGACTCCCACGCTCTGGTTTCTGCCATGCCTGATTTTCAAAGCCCCATCCTTCCTCCTCATCGCTCCAGCCGCCATCCTTAACCCCGGATCCTTGACCCACCTCCCAACGGTTGTCCGGTCAACGCCGATCGACTTTGGGTGTCATCATGGGAGGGTATATCGCATCCGATCCTCCTCCCATTCCTTTCCAGAAGCCAAACCGACCCATTTCGCCCCCACTGTCTGCTGCTTTTCGGGTCTGGGTAGACCTGTTTTGCGTCCCAACCCGACCGATTGGGTTCAACCGGCTCGTCCAAGATTGGTTCGGTTTGATCCAATCCAAACCGGTTCGATTTTAGTCGCATCGGTTCGTTCCTGCTGGCCCGTCCGATCCCGGTTCGCCCATCTCGATCCAACCAGCCACCGCCCAAACCCAGCTAGTTAGGGTGGTAGTCGCCGCCCAATGGCCCCCCTGTGGGTCAAACTCGGCCCATTCTCTGCTCTGGTCAATCAAGCTCATCTCTCCTGCACTCCCGACCCAGTCAGCCCATTTCTCAGTTAGCCCACAGCTACCCTGGACCCGACCTCGTCTTGCTTCCGGATCGTTGGATCCGAAGCCCATCTATCCGCCCATCGAGTCGTAGCCCGAAATCTTGGCCTTCCCGTGCATCGCCGCAATCTCTAGGGCCGTCGGAGTTGGTAGCAGGCTCAGGCCATGATTGGGTCGGGCCAAAACTTGCCCCGCGCGGCTCGCCACATCCCCCGGCGTGTATGCGTCACCGCACCACCGTCGTGCTCGCCGCCCTCCGCGCGCAACCTCGCATCCCTCGACCCCGGCGGCTCCTTAGCCACCGCCACCGCCCCGGTCTGCGCCGCCGTCGTGCCTTCGAACGTCGCCGTTGTGATCGCCGTGGTGGCGGCCTCCTTTGCTCCCGTCGCCACCTCTCCAACCTTCTGGGGCGGTGCGGGCAGCCCTTGTGGTGCTAGGGTTGCCCTCATCAGCTCCACAAGTGAGCTCAGATCGTCATTGTTCCTTCTAGACATCTGATAACGATGTAATTGCACGTATTTGCGCCCCTAGTTCTTATCCGTTTGAGGGGCATAGTCGTGTATTTTTTGCCTATTTTATGCCGGGTTGTGCTATTTTGTCATATTTCAGGTCCCAGGCGTCAAAGGAAAGGCCAAGCACGAGTTTCGGGGCATTCAGAAGTCATTTCGTCGAGCTGGAGTCAAAACACGGGCACACCTAAAACAGAACACGGCCGTGTTCTGTGGCCGTGCTTTGACTGCCGAGAGCAAATTCGAGTTTGGCAAACATTGGATAAAAACACGAGCAGGGCTTAGACAAAGCACGGCCTTGGCCACCAAAGCACGGCCTTGTCCATCATCAAACACGCCCGTGTTTCTCCCAATGCACTGGCCGTGTAATTAACCCTAGCCAAAGCACGGGCGGGCTGAGGCATTACACGGCCATGCCCTCGACCGTGCTTTGGCCACTGATGCCCTTTTAAGCAGATTTTCAGCCAAAGAGAAGGGGATTCGAGTTTTGAGAGAGATAGAGCGATTCCTAGAGAGAGAAAGCGACGAACAAGAGTCTCCAAGTGCCCTAGCTCGATCTTCAACACCATTGGAGGCCAGTTTGAGCTTGGAGAAGTGCCGATCAACATCCAGGAGCAGGAATCCATCCTTCACAGTATGAATTCCGCGTCTGATTCTGCTTTTGCTTCTTTCTCCATGGAGTAGTTCTCCCATTCATCTGGGTATGGAGAACCCTAGATTTGTATGTTAGGCTTTGATTGTATGAACCCAAGTACTGATTCTATGATTTGATTATATTCGATTGAGGTTTGAATGATTGAATGACTTGAATCCTGATCAAATTCCTGTTGTTTCTGCTTTGACCTAGAATGAGAATATCTGCCTAGGTTGATAGAGCATCCCTGATTGAAGATAGGGAGTTGGTGACTTTAGTCGAGGAGCCAACTCACTATTCTGTACCGGATTTACTCCGGTAGTGGAGGTTTTGTTTGTTAAGGCCTCAATCTGTTTGCTCCGGTGGAGGTTAGTCGCCCGCCAGAGACTCAGATTGAGAGGGTCTGAAGACCTTTAGTCGAGACTTCAGGCTGTTTAAGAACCTTCCGCGGTATAACTATCATAGAAACTGAACTTGGTAATTACAATCCGGCTTAACTGCAGTATAGGGGGAACCATATCCGGGTGACCTCTCTTAACCTGAATACAACAGTTTACTTGCTTTGTTAGTTTGTTAGTTTAAACCTGCATTAAAGTTTCATTGCTAGATAACAAGAATTCACTGAGTAGTCATCAAATCTAGGACCCGGGTTGATAATTAAACCCAAACCCGCTATACTATGCTTTAGGAAGTGGTTTCACTTGGCCAATTCCTGGAGTGACAGTAGAAGTGAGTCAAGTTTTTGGCGCCGTTGCCGGGGACGGCTAGGTTGTTGAAGAAAAGTGATTTCTGTTAATTTAGCTTTTCTTTTTGCTTTGTTTGCTTTGTCCCACTTGTGCCTTCACGGGTTTGCTTGCTTGAGTGTGTGAAGGTAGTGCATGACCCGTAGCCAGTCAGGAGGTTTATTGCCGTTGAATCCAGAGATTGATCGCACCTGTGGCCAGCTCAGGAGACAACAGCGAGCTAGACTGGCTACGGAAGAGCGCCTAGACGGCCACCTGAGTAGCGATTCTGAAGAAGAGCACGAGATGGACGGAGACTACAATCAACACCAGGGGAATCCGCAGCAGGTTCCCCCGGTGAATCAGGTCCTGGGGAACAACCCCATACCCCAGGATCATGGGGTTCATCATCCACCGTAGCCGGGTCCCACCTTGGAGTACTACCTACACTCCTCGGATTGCTGACATCCGCCCGGTCATCCTCTACCCGCCTATTCCAGCAAAAAACTTTGAGATCAAGCCATGCTGGATTCAGCTCATTACATCCTCTATCCAGTTCCATGGCTTGAAGGATGAGGAGGCCAGGGTGCATCTTTCGCGTTTTCTGCAGCTGACGAACGGGTTCAAGCTGAATGGTGTCCCTGATGATGCAATCCGCCTTCATCTCTTCCCCCATTCTCTGGCGGGGAATGCTAAGAGGTGGTTGGAGACCCAGCCCCCATTTTTCATCACCTCTTGGGACGATCTGGCTGACAAATTCGTGCACAGGTACTATCCGGCATCGAAGGCTACAGAGATACAGCGGGAGATCACTCACTTCCGCCAAGAGCCAGATGAGTCACTTCGTGATGCATGGGAGCGGTACATGGGATATTTCTAGCAGTGTCCCCATCATGGCTTTAGTGATGCATTCACAGTGGGGAACTTCTACAGTGCTCTCTCTCCAGACAGCCAGAGGGTGATTGAGTCTCTATGCCTAGGAGGGGATATTCTTACTAAGACTCCAACCGAGCTGAACCAGATGATCAGTACTTTGGCTGCCAGAGATCATTCTTGGGGACAGGGTAGCCGAGGCAGAAAATCCCGGGACCGTGGTGTGCACGCCATGGAGACCAGATCCGGGCTCGAGCAGCAGGTAGCTGAGCTAGTGCAGACATTGAAGCAGCCCAACAGTCTTATTCCGGGCAGAGGTCTGGCTACACCTCCAGTAGCTCAATGTCAGTGGTGCGAGAGCTCCAATCACCTAGTGGAGGACTGCCAGGCTATGAGGGAGTCTACCACTCCCCAAGAGTAGTTGGACTTCATCGCCAATGCTCGGCGCCTCGACCCGTACAGCAGCACATATAATGAGAGGTGGCGCCAGCATCCCAACTTTGCCTGGAGCAGCAACACCACTAAACCACCTGGTTTCCCAGCACCAGCAGGTGGTTTTCAGTAGAGGCAGCCCTTCCAGGCTCGATAGGGGCCAGCCCCACAGCAACAGCCCTACCAGCCTAGGAAGGGGCAACCATTCCAACAGCCCCAGCGTCAGTTTGTCGAGCCAGCAGCAGCCCCTGCCCCAGATGACCGGATGACAAAGCTGGAAAATATTCTAGCTTCATTCATGACTAGCACTCAGGCTGCTATCACGTCACTAGAGGCAGGTCAGCGGAACCAGGGTGCCATTTTGCAAGATCTGCAGCACCAGGTGGGTATCTTGGCCCGCCAAAACACTACCAGGGCACCGGGGACTCTGCCTGCCACCACTATCCCGAATCCTCGGGATCCTCACCAGCTCCAGCAGCTGGATGCCATTTTTACCAGGAGCGGTAAGACCATATCTGCTGATCCTGTCCCGGCCAAACAGGAGGAACCACTACCTGCTTCAGCACTTCCAGCCGACGATGCAGAAGTGCGGGTGGAGAAGGAAGCCCCTGCTCCCAAGCCACAACCAGTGGTTAAGGAGCATGTACCCCAGCTTCCCTTCCCCACTCGCCTACACAAAGACAAGTTGGAGACTGAGTTTGCCAAGTTTATGGCAATGTTGAAGCAGCTCAACATCAGCATACCGTTCGTGGAGGCACTGTCGAAGATGCCCAAGTATGCCAAGTTCATGAAAGATCTCCTCACCAACAAGAAGAAACTTGGGGATCTCTTGACAGTGTTGCTGTGCGAGGAGTGTTCTGCTATCCTGCAGAACAAGCTGACCGCAAAGCGCAAGGATCCAGGGAGTTTTACTATCCCTCTTACTATTGGCAGCATGCATGTAGGCAAGTCCTTGGCGGACCTAGGCGCTAGCATAAACGTCATGCCGTATAAGTTGTACAAAAAGCTAGACCTAGGTGAACTTAGTCCTACTAGGATGAGCATTCAGCTAGCTGATCGTTCCATTGTGCATCCTAGGGGGATCATAGAGGATCTGCTAGTTAATGTAGGTGCATTCACATATCCTGTTGATTTTGTTATTCTTGATATACATGAGGATGTGGATGTGCCTTTGATTCTGGGTAGACCATTTATTGCCACCGCCAAGGCACTTATTGATGTGCATGATGGTAAACTGATCCTGCGTGCTGGGAATGAACAGGCTACTTTTTCTGTGACTGAATTTGATCACTGTGCTATGATTGCTGTCACGCCTGTAAATGCCATTTCTGATCAGGTACACGAGCCTGTCGTGTATCCTTCTGCACCTCTTATTTTGCAGGACCCTCCTATCATTCCTTCGCCGCCACTCCATCCAGCCTCGCCTCCGAACAAAAAGCTCAAGGAGGAGTGGCGGCCGAAGCAGCAGGTTGCCAAGCCTGCAAGGAAGAGGGGTGGAGACCACTATGAGCTGGTCCCACCTTCTGCACCACGACCACCCTGGCCGTCCGGGTACTCACTCGCCTGCATCTTGCCGGATGGCCAGGTCGAGCTGACCGATGATGGTGGTCGCATCCGTCGGGTGCATGGCCACAACCTGAAGCTGTACCTCAAGAGCGACGTGGATCCGCTCTTGGAGGCACCTGTTCCTGCACCTCCCTGAGTATCCACCATGGGCGTCCAGCTAAAAGACGGTAAAGAAGCGCTTGTGGGGAGGCAATCCCACCACGGTTTGACTTTCTTTCTTGTGTTTTGAGTCGGATTGTAAACCGGTTTGGTTTTGGTTTGTTTTCTTTTGTTTTGGATGATGTTTTATTGGGCTGACCATTGGATCTAACATATTGTGTTTGAGCTCTTTGGTTTCCTTTTAGCTGTGCTTGTCTTGACTGGTCTTCTATCCAGTCCACTTCACTCTGACTGGTCCGCTTCCAGTCCCCTGCAGTCCGTGCATACCGGTAACATCGTTCCCCTTCCCCTTCCCTCTTCTCCATTGAGGGCAATGTCGATCTTAAGTGTGGGGGGATGTTTATCTTTTGACTGCATTAGATCTGTTTGTGTGCTTGGAGCCTAGTCCACTGTCCAAATTTTTAAAATTTGAGGGCTCCAAGTACGTGTTTCCGTGCAATTGCCTGCTCAGTATGCTTTGAATTGACAGTCTTTATAGTAATATGCAACCTAGGGAGGTAGTGTAGCACTATGGAGGATGTTGATGCATTTAAGAAGTCTCATTTCTTCTTCATATTGTGTTGGTTGATTGAGTGATTTAGTGATCTTAGGACCCTTGAATTGTGTGGTGTTGTGGACT